AATATTTATGAAAACCAACACGTGGCCATTTGTTTGAGTCACTGTATGTATGTATGCTCGTAATAGTTAATAAATTCAGGACAACACAAAAATGGTTTATGCTTAATTTTGCGCAGGCAGCTGAGATGATGAAATTTAATTTCTTTTCTGATTTTTGGTTAAACACAGTTTGTCGCATGTGTGTTGACGCTTGAATTGTGATATGTGGCTTATTTGGGTTGGATTGCTGTTACGTTGGAGAATAATTTTTATAAATATATATTTTTAATTGCACACTTTCATCACTGCCGGTTTTTGTTATTATTATTTAGAACGCCAGCTTGTCAGTTTCGAAATTATATTGAAAATTTAAAATCAAAATACTATTTGTCAACGGGAAATATAGCCAAAACTGAGATGCATAAAAAATATAAAAAAATTTAAATTATAATTATTTACAGAAAATTCAACAAAAGTTAAGAAAAAAACTGTTAAGCTTTAACTAAAATGGCAATAAAAACAATTTAAATCATTAATTAAAAAATCATAAACTGTTTCGAATCAGTTTGAAATTTTGCATTTAAAGTAATTCTTTTACATATATTTTGAATTTAAAACTTTTTATAACCTAACTATTAACTCCTAATAATTCATTACCACTTAAAGTATCAAAAATTTAAAAAATATGAATTCACAGTTACTGCTGCATATTATCAGGCTTTTAAGAAATTCCAATTACTATTATATCTACGCTCGGAGTACAATTTACTAGTTTCTATGTACTTAATATCAATTAAAATCAATTTCAATAGCTTGTTTGCCTCTTTGCTCTGTTGGCCTCACAGCAAGTCTACAAATATTTGTTGCCTATCCAAAGGCGCAATGTTTGTCAGTCTAATATTTACGTACTTGTGTCCGTCGTAAACTACATACTAAGTATAAGTGATTTTGCGGCTGAACAATGTTTGCTAAGACGCATTGTAAACAGTATTAGTTGCTGCAAAGTAGGCATTATTGTGGATAAATAGTAATTGGGAAGGATGCCACTTTCGGGGAGGAGGTGGCTGGTCTACCAGTTCAACTACGTTTAAACGTTCAATTTAAATAGTATACTTTGTACGAAGTTTCGATTCTACCTACGTATAAAGAATGTTCACCTACACAAATTCATGCTGGCCGAGAGGCAAGCTGGGTTTGGCTAAATATTTAGATAGAATAGATTTCTGATTTGGGCTGATATTGCTGTTTTCAGTTAGTAATTTCGATAATTTTTTTTACATTCAAGGGACAGACAAACTTTGGACAAATCATTCTTTAGTCGATTATTATCACTACACATAGTCCCCTCAATGAATAAAAAGAGCGCGAACGAAATCCCAAGTGGTGCCATATGAGGTCGTGAGCAATTTTTGATGCTACCAAACTATTTCTATAGGAATCTTAAGGCTCTGAGGATGGTTAATACTTCCAAGGAAATTTGAATTCAGAGCAGAAATAGTCTTAGTTAGGTCATACTATCCGAATGATCTGATTTGAACAGTTACTGAGAGAAATAAACTGGGATATGGGACTTAAAGTGTCATAGAGTCTAGGAAGGTTATTCTGTGTAGCTTATTGAACATCAGTATAGCTCTAGAAAACACTACCAACGAATCTTAGTAAGTATCCCACGAGATTTTTTTTTTAACAGAGGTTTGAAGAGAACTATGCCCTTTTGAAGTCTATACTTTAGTATTTTCCCATACTTTGATTCCTCTTGGTAGACGAGCCCTTAATGAGATTACAGTTCTAAAATTAAGATTTAGTTTTTTAAATTTGGCTACAAAAAGATTCTAGCCTAAAGGCTATTTAAATTTCAGAATAACTTCCTGGGGTATAGAGTGTATGTGCTCTTCTCTAAGCCATATACGTCCTGTGCACCTCTCCCTTCCCCGTGAAACGACCTCACACTACAGGAGGAAATGCAAATATCTATTTTTGGCAGAGTCACAAAATCGAAAAAAGATCATTTGACCAAATTCCTAGCTTCTACCAGTGGGCTTTTATCCAGCAATGACCCGTTAAAAACCTATAATAATTCTTTGCCTTAACTTGGGGAGGTTTATGAGTAACTTGTAACTGTTTAGGTTGCACCCCCTAGTAAGGTCATAGCTTGACGAAGACTCATGGTTTTTTTACCAATGCAGTGTCCTCAGTATGATATTTTCCTCAGGTCCTGTCGGCGTCGAGGCAGCAGCCATTCTGGCTTACTGATCACCTTCCTCATTTCCTTCGACTCCTGCGCGGTCTGGTACCAATAACAGTGGGATTGAGTTTTCTTTCAGCCTGAGCTTTAAGCTTCTCAATACACTTCAGGACCACTGAGTGTGAGAGGGCCAAAAGAGATGCCTGAGAGAGCCAAAAGAGCTGCCTGATTAACGAAAGAATCCCCCCTCACTTGGGCAAATGCTATGAGGTTAATCTCTGCGCGCAGACTAATAGCAAAGACTTCCGCTTGGAAGATGTTTAGAAAGGTTGCCAATATCACTGAAAGCTTCAATCTTAGGGGTCGTAGCGCCATCTCTGTACCATTGTTTTGTGCTCGCCTGGACGTATCTCTCCATTTTTCATTCGAAAATGCCATTTTAAGCACATCGTATATGCGTAACAGAGCTGGTGGTGGGAGTTGGGAGCCTAGCTTGTCCTTTTTCCTAGATGATAACAATTTGCCTTTGCTAAAGCCCTCTCTACAAAGCTCCCCTTATACCATGTCGCCACCGGAGCTAACCACGTAGTTATGACTGTTGAGTTGGTTATCCCGATATCCCACTTCATTACTTCATTTAGCGTAGTTTCGCCATATAAAAATGACAGCACTTAACCATTTCACTGAGATGGTTAAAAGCTAACCAACTCGAAACCACGTCGAAAGTCTGATACAACCCTGTGTTAAAATGTAAAAAAATCGTTCCTTACTAGTGTTTTCACTTAATTAAGATCAGATTAGATTTACTCCGGTTTTTGAAAAAATTTGAAATCTACTCCTCTACTCCGCTTAACTTCAAATCTATTCCGTTTTTTTCATTCATGTTATGCCCCTCTTGGGGCCGTTTTTGGAGTGTTCACCACCGGTTTCAGTAAAAAAATTGAATGTTAGCCAAATCTCACTGCTAAAAAGTAACTCTTTCATAGCAATGCGTCAATAAAGTAACTTCGTTATTTTTTGATGTATGGCTGTAGAAATTGGCAGATGCAGAACTATACTTCAGTTGTAAAAAAAATATATGTAGAACAAAATTTATATAAAGTAGAAAAGATTTAGATCCTATTGCTCTTTAAAAAATTAAGTGTTAGAAACGTTCTACTTTATAGAAAATGCTAAATATTACCTATATATGTAACATATTATCCTTACATTGCCTCGCGTTCTTATTTTTGCATGAATAGAAAATATTTAAGTCAAACAACACTGGTCTACAAATTTCAACTTTTTTTCTGCGAATAAGACGGGACCTGGTGTTTCTGAACGGATTTTTCGTGCTGAACACGAATCCGGGGTCAAAAATGTCCCATCACGTCACGTTTTCGAGAAAAAAGGGGTTGAAACCCCTAAAAACAGCGTTTTTGGCCATTTTCGAAAAATTATAGAGCTGAACCCTGACGTGGTACAAATTTTGCATATATCAGAAATTAAAGGCTAAACCGTGCCCTTTCGAATGAGCCCTATGCCGAATTGATCGCGTGCACCCTTAAAGCAGGGGGTGTATTTGTGTTTAGGGGTGCAGGAAAAATTGATCACAGAAAGAATTTAATCTTAAACGATCATAGAAAATTAATAATGCCAAGGTTTTAACTATATTAAAAGTCGCTGATTACGAATCTGCAGTTAGATTTAAAAATTTTTTTTTTTTAAATAAGATGAAATTCTTTCTGCGATCAATTTTCCCTGGACTCCTAGACACAAATACACCCCCTGATCTAAGGGTGCATGCGATTAATTCGGCATAGGGCTCATTCGAAAGGGCACGATTTAGCCTTTAATTTCTGACATATACAAAGTTTGTAGCACGTTAGGGTTCGGCTCTACAATTTTTCGAAAATGTCCAAAAACGCTGTTTTTAGGGGTTTCAACCCCTTTTTTCTCGAAAACGTGACGTGATGGGAAGTTTTGGACCCCAGATTCGTGTTCAGCACGAAAAATCCGTTCGGAAACACCAGGTCCCGTCTTATTCGCAAAACCCTTGTAGACCAGTGCAATTAATGTCAGAAACGAAAATAAAAAATTCAAACTAGTACGGAAAATTCGTTTTTGCTCAGATTTTTAGTCCTGAATCGATTTTTGAGGTTCGAACCCTGTCTCTACATTTATACTGCTTTATAAACCTCAAACTGCAGTGTGGACAGTTGATGTGATGTGATGTGGTTAAGTTCGATTTGAGATGGTTAACTTTTTGGTGGGGACATGTTATAAGTTAAGAGTCGCATCACTTGAAGCCACTCCCATTTTCGGTGCAAATAAATGGAATGGTATCTAAGGATTGTAAATTTGTACCCTTTTCATTCTGGCTCTGAACAAATTTTATATTCGTTTTTTCTTTTTCTTTAAAAAACCTAAAAACCAACTAAATTTTTCCCAAAATAAACATTAACACAAACTACAAAAACAAACATAAAGCCAATGAATTTTGCTAAATGATAAACCAAAATTGCAACATGCGCCTTGAAGGCCAAAATGCTTAAATGTGCATACGTGTAATTGAATCTCGAAAATGTAAAACAAAACGCAGTAAATTTAAATATGAAAAAAAAACAGCGCTGCGCAAGCGTGAGCAATACAAACACAAACAAACACAAGATACAAGAAAACATATAAATAAAAATCGAATAAGAAATAACCAACAAAAAAAGATTTCATAAAAATTAGCCAATAAGAAAAGCAACCAAATTTGGACCAAATTACATAAATAAATTGCAAACCAGGCTAATAGAATAATAGAATAAAAGGAAAAAGATATGGAAAAAAACAAAGTAAAGGCACTGACGTTCGTTATCCTGGCTGACGCTGCCGCCCTTGGCATTCGGTTCCGTGCCATCGATGTACACTTCGGTATTCTCATCTTCTTCGTGCGCATGGGCATCGTGATCATCGTGATCATCGTGGTCGTCCTCATCATCGCCCTTGTTATCCTCATCATAGTTTTCATCGAATTCATCGTCGTCGCCTTCATCTTCATCAAGCTCGGCCACACGCTCATCGTCCTCGTCGCCATTAGCGCTCAAGATCTGCTTGCGATCATTGCTATCGCTGCTGCTGCTGCCAGTAGTGGAGGATGATGATGATGATGAGGTGGAAGAGGTGGTGCTGCTTGAAGTGCTGCTGTCAACGTTCGACGTTGGCTTGCTGCCGCCCAACTCGTGCTGACGCTGATGTGGACGCTCAATGAGATCCTCTTGATCGTCCTCATCCACATCGCCGGTGTGATCGTCATCGTCGTCAGTGCGATCGATGAAACCGCCGTCACCGCTGCCGGCAAACAAGCCACCGTCGCCACCGTCGTCGCCGCCGCCACCGCCGCCGCCAATTTGTTGCTTGTCGTCGTCCACGTCATCACCACCTTCGCCGAGATCGAAATCTTCGTCGTCTGTGTGCGCAACGCCGCCTGCAGGGTAATGGGGTGTTGCGGGTGAGTGGGTTTTATGGACTTGGTTGGGGTATAAGGATGAGCCGCGATTTTTGCTCGCCGTCGCAGAACTTGTGGATGAGGTGGATGTGGTGGTGGTGGTGGTGGTGGGAGTGTTCTGATTTGTGGTTGTGGATGAAGACGCTTGCTTCGTCGTTGTGGCTGTTGATATGAACGATGGCAATGATATTGATTTGATTGAATTAATGTCTTTTGATAGTGAAGGTACATATGCATGTATGTAATTCATGTGAGAGCGAAAGGGCAGTGAAGGTACAATAATAATAATTTTCGCAAAAAGTGGCGTTCATTCAACGAACGTTTTTATTTTTTATATATGTATGTATATTTAAAGCATAGTAAGTACGAGTGGGTGTGTTAAATGTGAACGAGTTCGGGGGGCGGTAGTGGTGTTAGTGAGTATGAGAGTGAGCGTGAGTGTGAAAGTTATGCGTAAACGCGAAAATAGATGGTAAAATGGCATGAGTGTGAAGTATGTATTTATATGAATGTATGTATGTATGCGTATATGCGTATGCGCTATGATTTTTACCAATTGTATTGAGGCCAGTGTTGCTACCACTATTGCCACCGATGATGCCTGAATTGCTGCCGCTATTGCTGCCAATGATTGTGCCACTATTCGTTTGATGATGAGTTCTACTCGAGATGAGATCGTCGTCGTCGTCGTCGTTGTTATTGGCGTTCGTATTATGTTTACCCGATTGTGTTTGTGAATTAATTCCACGATGCGAATGCTGCAAATCGGTGGATGAGTCTTCGTCATCAGGACCAAAGCCGGAACCAGAGTAATCGGGATCCTTCTCTAAATCATCGTGCAGCTGGAAGAGAGAAAACAAGGATGAAGAATTAGACATTTGCATTTAATTACGGAAGCAAAATACATATATTATTGAGGAAATTTTGAATAACGCTATACTTTTCTGTAAGAAATAATCGATAGAAAATTCGTAGAAGTCAAGAAGGGTTATTTACGCCATCAGAGGATGTTTTTAACAATCAAAGAAAAGAAAATTACAAAATTTTTTGTATGCATCTTCGGTAGTTAATTTAATTACAGTAATAGTGTCATAAAAAAGCAAAATTCGAGATAAACGGCTTTACAGTTTGGAATTCACACACATGTACTCCCATTGTAAAAATAAATTCATCGAGGGCTTATATTCAATACAACCTATCTGAAATTCAAAAAAACTTTCCACAAAAACTACTTTTTGATATTAGAACCCCTCTGGAACTTAACTGCCATCACTGATGGTAATTCGAACTATGTAATTTCAATAACAAAATTTTCTAACTAGCGATTTACAAGGTCAGCATCAACATCATCGATGACAGCTAAGTCTGCAAACTTAACTAAATTTTTGTATTTTTTGGATTATGACACTATTTAAATAAATAAGCGATATAGTCGTAAGAAATAAAGTTTGTGACGCGTATGTTATATTTTACTTGAAAATTTTTAGAGAAGTATGCATGTACATATATTTTCTTGTGGGTTACGAGGTTATCTCTTTCAGACACCGATCCGGGAACCAAGGCAGACACAAAATTTGTTTAAACTTATTTAAATTCGTAACTAAATGCATTAAAAAAAAATAAAATTATCGATATTAAGACATCCGATATAAAAAGCAGTGCCCAAGAAGAAAATGTGTGATCGAAACTAAAAGTCGTTCTCATAGTTTTGTTCCCAGGAATCTTTAAAACCAAAACCAAAATGAGAACAAAATTGTCGAGAACGTTCTCGATAGGAATTATATAAGAACAAAACGCTGTAGAATAACAATTTGAGAACTAAAGTCTCAGCAACTTTTTGACAAAGAACGAAATTTTCTCTGAACTACTCGCAAAGAACAAAATTTTTCACATAGTGTTCATTTGTTTGAAACGTTTGAATATTTAAATTAATCAAAACGAGCGGAGAGATATTAAGTCAACGAGAAACATAAGACTCGTGTCTTTTCTTGCATAGAATAATAGCTAACCCGAATGATAAACGATGTAGAGGTTGAAATGCTTTGGATTTTCTCTGGCTTAGAATTAAAAATCGTGGTTCTCACTGAAACGATTTTTCTTTTGTTCTTATTTGATCCTCTTTGAAAACGTTACCGAAAGTTTCGTTCTCATTTTGTTCAACATCATGTTGTCGTAAGCACAGATTTTTCAACCTAAGATTTTTCATCATCCTTATCGACGAAGTATATTTTATAGTTGCCTATACAGCTTTGATAAAAATTCAGCAACGAAATCGACTATACTGGATATTTAATGGCAATAACAGCCCAAACAATGCTAGAGTATTACTGAGCTACGACTATTACATCATGCGACAGAAAATTTCGCACATTAAAAAATCGAAATTCTCGTGAAACAAGGGTCCACATATTGTACAACTGCGTTTTTAATTTTCTTCTCTGGCATCAAGATTTTTCTTAAAAGGAATTTGAAACCCCAGGATGTGATTAATTAAAAAAAAGTATGAAAAACATTCGGAGCAATAAAAAAAGAAAAATAAAAATAAAGGCATCCAGTAAAAGAGAAAATTCTCTAGAATTTAATGCCTTAAATATCTTAGAGCACAATGTGGAATTAGTATTTAAAAATATATAAAATTATATACATATTTGTTAAGAGCACATTTTCAATACTTATTCATCCTTGTGGTTCAAAAGACTAAATTTTCCTAAAGTTATAAAATTTTCTTTTTCATTGGCTACCCTTATTGTTATTCTGTATTGCTCTTAATTTTTTTTGAATGTTTTATAAATAAACCATATTTTTAACGTACCCTGCAGGGAGTGACGTTAGCTTATACCTAACTTTAGTCTGTTTACGCGAACACTAGTGCTAACTATTAACTGTGTATTTTGTTCGAAAAAAGCTAACTACTTTTGTGGGGCGATGGCCGCAAAAAAGTCAGACCTGGATACCTCTGCATTACATGTCAACTAACTTGTAGCTAACTACTTTTGGACATAAAATATTAATAAGAAAAACAAAATATTTTTTTGTTTTTTTACTTTTTTATTTACTTATTTATTTACTTTATTTTATTACATTTCATATTTGTTTACATATTCTGCTCTGGGTGGCCCCATATTCGAACACCGTCAGACATTACTTCAAAATGATAGTATAAAATTTCGATCTTCCTTTTATTTGTCCTGAATATGAAAAAGAATCTGCGAAGTTCAGAAAAAAAGTGTATTGAAAGTAATTTTTGTATGAGGATATTTAATAGAAACTTGTAAAGAAAACCAACTCCCGATTGCGTCTGCATGACTCCTGCACGACTTTACAATTCACTTTAAGTTGGTTTTGTCATAGCTAATTAAAAGTGAGGTATTAATCGAAATCTCGCCAAAAAGCTAACTAGTTAGCTTAACAATTGATAATTTTTCACTGCAGGGTAGTTACACTATATCTGGTTCCTACTTTCACTACATTATTCCGCATGTAAAATTTACTGTCGTATGGTGTTAACAGTAAGATATAATTTATATTCTACTTTATTAGATAAATACCGAAAGCAGGAAACATTCTATTTCTTAATCGATAGTTATGAATTGCCGCAGACGTTATCGATATTCCTGCTAAGTTGGAAATAAGATATTTACTGTGAGAAAATATGGTTAATAGCAAAACAATGATAGAAATTATGTTAAAATATCGTCTGTCAACCAAGTCAGGGCGGCCATTTTTCGCATATATTATTTTCCACTTTTAATTGCTGTCTATTAAATAAAGTATATTAAAATATCAATAACGCTTGATGTAAACTATTTATGACTATTGTTTCACAATTAAAACGTGCATTCTTGTTGGAACACCTTATCTTCAAAACAACTGCACTATATTTAATTATCTTCGTAAATCGTTCATATTTAAGGGGACTTAGTCGAATTTATTAAGAAAAACGGGTAGGTATTTTCAGTAATAAAATAATGATGCCACAAATGTCAACAATGCGAAATCGAAAATAAGTCAGCTCAAGAAAGAGTTCCAATTATTGCACATTTTATTTTTTATTTTGCCAATTTAATTCTTAACAACTCCCGATCTATAAACTAACACAACATTCTAGTTCAAAGTAAATTCCTACAAACTTCAAATGCCTTTATTGACCAACATTCTCACCCCACGTATTTGGGTAGCAATCGCTTAACTGCCTAGCTTCCTTGTGACATTTATTTATGCTTGCGCCGGAAATGCTCACCCCAACCACAACTCCATAATACAAATATGCATACAGCCGCATGTGCTATGAAAATCTTAAGACAGCAGTTGCAACAGCGGCACGCACGTCTTTCGCGCTAACCGCAATTTATGTGTGTGGCCTCGAAATGTCAGCGTGTCAGTGTGGCAGTGTGGCATTGTGGCAAAGTGCCTCCGTTTAGCCATAATGCATTCGCATTTTCATTTACGCACAAAGCTTTTAACTTGCTTTTAGCATAATATGACCGAGCTAATAGATATTTATGTCTTTGGCGTATGTATGTATATCCTGCCCAGGAAATGACTGTTGGTCGTCACGAGTAAATGTTAATCGGTAAAATGTACATACATACATATATAGTTGTATGTGTGTGTATGGATTGGAATGTCTTTGTCGCGATTAGAACTTCTCCGCTTGCCACAGCAAATTGCTAAAGTTTCCATTTTCTTGAGTTAGTTTCCTCTGACATTCTTGCGTTCGAGCCGGAAATGTAATAGAATTTAATTATATGGAGCAGAGCGAGTAGAATGCTAGTGTTTAATGCAGTTTTATTGCATTATTCGTGTTGGTGCATTAAATTTGCGGCGTTGTTGTAGAAAGTTTTGGAATAAAAGTAAATTCCATTGCTTGCTTGTTTGGCCTCTTGATTCCTTCTTAGTGCTGAAATGAGTATTATTTTTTAGTTGGTGATTACCGGTGTGTTAAATAGAAATTGAATCGCGGAAATTCACTGAAAAATCGCCTGTGCGAGAAAAAAAATTTAATTTCATGTTATATTAAGTGGCACTTTTATTGCATGTTGCAGCATATGGCAAGCAGCAACGGCGCGTTACACAATGTAATAAAATTGTAGCGCCCCTTCAGCAAATTTAGCGTTATTTCCGGTTACACTAAGCGCTGTAGCAGGGAATGTGGCAATGTATGCGTTTTATTTTATTTACGCTACATTTATTGTTGGTAGCAATTGTTGCATGCTGTTGCATGTTATAAGTAATTACTTTAACGCAGCGATAGCGAAACCCGCCTGCGGCACTTTTAGCATTTTTTTTCATTGAATAGTAAAGCAAGTAAAAAAATAAAATAAATGGATGCTTAAAAAGAAAAATAATATGCCGCATATGTATATGTATAACTAAATCGCAAATGCAGGGTAGCGAGAGGAAAATAAAACTTTTTCTGCAATGTGGCTGCTGGGCATATTTAAATCCCCGCAAAAGATGGAGTCGCAAAAAGAAAAAAAAAAAACAGTTGCATTTACTTTTCCAGTTCCTTGTAAATAACTATGCATGGCTAGCCTAATTTGCAATATTTTGTAGTACATATATGCGCCTGTCTTTTTTTTCCAGGGTTTCTCCAATATTTTTTATTTTTTTTCATGCCGTAAACAACTCGCAATTGCTGAGGTACTGTTTTTTTTTTTTTGCTTGCCACAATGGCTTAACTGGGGTGCAATTGCTAGGCGCTCATTAGCAGTTATTTGGTTTTGTTGTTGTTTTATTTTTGATAACTTTTGCACAAGTACTTATAGTCATATGCACATATGTAGGTACTTAAATATTTTTGTATATTTGTGTATGTTTGGGTGTGCAGGAAATAGTGAAC